TTGTATGAAATATGTCATATTTTAATTTTCTTTTCATATATATATATATATATATATATATATATATATATATATATATATATATATATATATATATATATATATATACACACACACACACACACACACACACACATATACACACACATACACACACACACACACACACACATACAATGCTCAGCATAGTACACTTTTCACAAACATATCCTTTAAATTGATATTTTTAAGAAAAGGAAGCTATACAATATTATATTTGTGCATATACATTAGATTAGTCAGTACTTAAGCCAAATCTGGAGTTTTTCGAGCAAAATAATGGTCCAAAAACTAGTACATCCAAATGTATATGTTATAGAAAAATATTAAATACAATAAAAAATTAAAAATTAAAAAAAAAGGCAAATCAAAAGAAAAAAAAAGTTAAAATTTTGTTACAATTTTGTAGGTTGTTATTTTTATTTGCAATATTTTGCATGAATTTAATTGTATTTTCTTTTAATTTATGTTTGATGACTAAAATATTATTTGAATAAATATATCTGTTTATTAAATCTGTTTTGTTTAAATGCACCAAAATACATTGTCTTTGTAAACAGATAAAAATATAGGGTGTATTCAATTATCCTGAGCACTATATATACATTTATTTATAAATTTATACGATATATTTCATATATGAATGAGTGACTTTGGTTTGTGACCTATTGCATAATACTGACTCGAAGGAATCTAGAACGTCACAAATTGACCCGTTTAATCGCATATGTACTACGACAGTTAGGTGGAGGGCAAATTGCCAGCTTAATCTTACTGGCTCACATCTGATCTAATAGGAGAGTGTTCAAAGTGGGTGGAGTCTTCACAGGGCACCCCAAACATCCCTTTGTAATGGAAAATGTAGCATCCCAGGTTAATGATCAATTATTCTCTACCACGAAAGGCTGAGATTATCACAAATCTCACGCTAAAAAAAGCACCTGGCTCCACACAAGCGTCAGATTCTCCTTAATCTGTGTTTGACCATGACTTGGCTAACAGAGCACAGTGTTACCATAAGATGACATAATACAAAAAGCACTAAGTAAAAACAATTAGTTCTGTTTTTAGGCAGTGCTTTTGGATAATGGCTTAAATAATGAACACTAATGAACAGATTATTTATCTATCTATCTATCTATCTATCTATCCATCCATCCATCCATTTAGTTAGTAAGTTATTTTTGTTTTTTTTATTTGGAAGAGTGTTTTGTATGTTTATGTTTTGTCTCTAAGTCTATTTGTTGTTGTAACTATTGTGAGTTTTTTGTGTGGCACTTTTATGAAATGATGACTCTTGACTGCAAACCAAATTTACCTTCAGATATAAATAAAGTAACCTAACCCAAACCTAACCTAGACTAAAAAGCCACTGACTGCAGTGTTTAGTGAAATTTCAGAGATGGATGTTAGAGCTGAAGCTCAATTGTAATGCAATCCTTATTAAATTTTGCGGTTTATAAAATGCTAAATTCAATACTCATCATTCATACCCAAATAGGCATGATGAATTCATAACCTGCCCATAAATTTCCTCTTTATAGTAATAAAACGAACAAGAAGCCTTTGCAAAATCACCAGAGCTTCCAAGTTGTATTTACAATGCCAATAGCATAGCATCAAAATATACCATAAAATAGTGAATTCCTTTCTAAAAACAAATGGCAAGTCCAAAAAGATCAAACACAACAACCATCTCCGACTGCTCTACAATTCGCCAATATTTACTATACATTAATATTAACTAAGATCAAAAATAAAGAATAAAAGAGGTGAAGTAAAATGCAAGGACAATCTCAAGCAGTCTTAAACAGAGTCCATATCAAAAGATTTATTCTCATTATTTATTCATGCACCAATTAAAGGTTAAACACGTGCCAAAGCCTGTGTGTCACAGAGCAGCTGTAGCAAGTGAGAGAGAGAAAGAGAGAGAGAGGAGGCCACAACAAGAAGGTTAAGGAAAAAGCAAACTAACTTTGTCTTGAAATGGTTTTGGCCTGGAGACAAGCTCTCCGCAAAAGAGCATGGACTGGCATAAACATTTGTACAAAATTATAAGTGCATTTGGAGACGCATGCAGGAGTCAACCGCCTGCACACGGTTCCCCGCGTTCACTCTCTCCCAGCAAACCCTCCACCCCAGAGCGCGTGTGTGTGTATACGGGCTCCAAACCACTGCATTTTAATTACTGCCAGCAAGCACAGCAAACCCCTTTGAAATGGAAATGGACCCAGAATCTTCCTCTGCGCCGCAGAAATCTTCTTCTGATTTGGAGGAGAAAAAAAAAACAATATGCTACACCAGAGCCTACACCTGATAATTCTGATTATAACCACCAATAAAGCCACTGTCAACATCCTCACGGCTGCTTTAAATCTACATATTCATGTGTGCTTTTAAAACAGCTATAGGAGAGAGAACGAGGGGAAGATATTCAGTAACGTCAAAGGAATATTTGTCACGCACCTAATTTCAAAGAATCGCAGGCTTTGTGTGTCACGCAACTTCAAGTTCAAGACGTTCAGATTTGAGCAATGGTGCAAACTGATGGGATGCATTGAAAAAGCAGCTCCATTATTGTGCTTGCACATCTTGTTATCGGGCAAATGCCGTGAGAAGATGAGCAAAAGAAAGCATTTGGTAATATTTTGGAGTGAAAGGCTTCTATCTTTCCGGTTCATTGTGCAGCATCGGCTGTAGGTGAACATGCGTTTTTCAGTTGTGGGCAAAAAGCATGCCCTTCATTTACAAAGAGTGTCCGAGACATCAAAGGCATCTTCAATTTTTTATCCTCGCATGAGTGTAACGTCTAGACCTGAGATCCTAAAAGGGCCACAAATAAAATCATAAAATGATGTAGGGAAAAAAAGCGCTTTTTTTGTCACAGAAATACACGGCCATACATACTGGCGTTTCACAAGGCCTCCAGAGCTATAGCTTCACTATCTTTTTTTCAGAAGCAAGACTGCAATTTGGGCGTGCTGTTAAGCCACAGATAAGTATAGGTTGGATAATTTGTACTTGCGCTGGAGGAAAGAAATGCTTAAGTCCTAATGGTAAAGGTCCTCACAAAACTATTTATTTACTATCTGTCATTTGATTGTTACAGCTTTGATTTCATTACAGCATGGCCAGGGTCAGCATTCCTGCCTATGTAAATCATTAAATCATACTGAAGCCCTCGAGATCTCAAGCTGTTGTCAGTGTGCCATCTTCATTGATGACAATGGGTCTGTCATTCTGCAGGAATGCAGCGAGAGAACAGCCAATGCATGCACTCAAACCCCAGCATGTGCATAAACACAAACAACTGCAAAAGTGAAAATATATTCATGTCTCATGTACAGACATTCGGGGGGAAAAAAATCAAGAAAACACCACCTTCCTTGCATCTCTCGCTAATTAGAAACCTTAACTTATTATAATTAAAAGTGCAGCAAAGCTTCAATAACACATTCCAGAAACTTGAGAGATTCTGCCACAAAAGGGAAAAAAGCCTTCTAATAAACATGTTGCCATCGGTTTTGATCATTGTTGAAATATTCCACAGCAAATTAGCTAACACTTATAAAGACAGATGTCACAACATGTGCTGCCACATTTCCTCCTCATGCATTCCTCCCCTACGGCTGGCGTGCTGCTTACCTTTACCAGGCCTGCTGTTGTTTACCTCCAGTGTTGTTTATCATTAGGATTCTGCTGGCACTGTTCTAACCTCTCCAATACAAGACACAGTCAGACGAGTGAGAGTGAGACTCACACCTGAGCATCTACCACTACAGTACATCAACATGCTCCTTTCCACTAAACATGTTGCTGCAGACTGACTGAAGCACTGCTACATGATGGGAAAAAATAACTAACTAATTAATTAATTAATTAAATACAAAACAATTTCATAAATTAATTCAATCAAATATTATTTTGAAAGAACTGGTTCTGATAAGAAGTTGAGCATGAACAAATTGTTCGAGATAAAAAAAAACTCTCAAACATTATCCACTATCTTCAAGATATGCATCCACTTAAGATGTATAAATATTATTTTAACATTAAAGATGCATTGCCTTACACAAGTAAGAAAGGATAAGGAAAGACAAACTAGGTAATTAAAAATCTGATTGATTAAGCAAATAGGTGATAAAGGAATTTTAAAAATGACCAAACTCTATAACCCCACTGAAAACACATTAAATATCAAGCTAGCCGGTGGGGAAATTTTATTTCACAAACACTAAAACATATGGCAGACAACCTCTGAAAACAACTGACTGTGGCACATGAAAGAGAATTATTCAAAGTCCAGAGTTTAGGTCCGATAATGCATTCGACTGATGCCAGCTATGCAATTAATGTCCCCAAATAAGCATTAAAAAGTCAATTTATGACAGATATACACATATTAAATTATTATAGCTATATAAATGAGATAAACTGCATGCAGAGAAAGCGAATCTCTCATACCAAAAATATTATAATATGAAACGCTAAGTACCAAATAAAAAACAGAGGTCTGGCTGCTATCATGCATTCTTAAATTTAGGAGAATCCTAAAAAAAATTAAAATAAAATAAATACAAATAAATTAATGCATTTAATCATCAACAATGATTTAACTAATTTGGTGGCATGAAATTACAATCATTCAGTGACTGCTTAAGGTCTAACCTTGACTATCTGCAGTAATGTTTTAACAATGGTTTTAAGATAAATTAAATAAATGCTTCAATTTGAAAAAAAAAAAAATGAAATGATCATTGAATATACTTTTTAAAAAGTTTTACATTTATCCATATCAGCTGTAAAGACTAAATTATTTTTGGGGGGAAAAAACAGCTACAAGTCTTCTTCGCATATTTAAATGCTTCAAATACATTTTCCAGCTGTTAAGTCTCAGAACATTAGATCTATTCAAAGAGAAGCATCGCAGAACAGAATACGGTCCAAATCTCTGAACTTACTGGCACCATAAGCGTTCGTCTGTCGGTATCTGCTCGCCGGATCCAGTTAGGAAACGCTCTTCACTTGCACAAAACCACAAGTTCCTCCCCAAATCCACGGGCAGAAAGTCCTGAAAAGACAACAACAGCAGAGATCGCCATCATCTCAAACGCTTTAATCTCAGTGAAAATGAAAGTGCATGTCTGTGATACCGTTATGAAACTGCGCATGAAATTTAATAAATACTTTTCAAAAGTACTGCTGGAAAATGTAATATTTGCATTAGAATAACATTGTAATAAAACAGCGTTCAAACAACAAGCCGCGTAAATTAAACACGTGAATATATATGTTATACGGTGCGTTTGTGAAGTGTGTTTACAGCTTCAAAAAAAAAAGGATTATTACGTTTATACATTTAACACTGTTTTAGTAAATAACACGTTTCATTTATTCTATTTTAGTTTATTTTTCGTTGATTTATCAGAGGTATTTATGATGTGTTTTTCGATGCATGGACATACAGTAGGACATATCAGTAAATACATAAAAGGGATAGTTAACAGACAATCTTTCTCAAAGGCAGTGAATAAGTCTCTCTCTATTGAGTGCCGCATATCCCTGTATAGCAGTCAGGACAATGTGCTGAACCGGCAGTCTAATTATAAATGTTCCATTGGGCTCCTGTGCCATCTTACCTTATGAGGGAACAGCTAACAGCAACTGCTCAAAACAAAATGCCATTACGGGCTCAACTTCACCCCAACAGAGGGACAAGCCAAGGGGATTGTTTTTCAAACACCCCCTCTCACTTAAGACAAGAATGTATTATTAGACACCCGGTTATTCTTACAGACTGGACACAATTTCAGGAGAGAAAACTACCAAAGTTAAGCTGTGTTTAATTAAGGTGTCAAGTTGCGTCCCTTGCGCGAGAACAACAAAGCTTTTGTGTTTCTGCTCCGAGGTTAAAAAAGTAAAAAAGGAGGAGGGTGTTTAGCTTTCTAGCGACGGAAAAGTCTTTAACAATAAGTGATTTACACGCCTTAATTTTTGCACAAATTTAAATGTCCCGTTTGACGTGTCAGAAGGGCTCCAGGAGTTTTTAAACCCTTTAAATTCCGTCATACGTCGGCGTGCTGTGTTATGTTCCTTATTAAAATATTATCGCATCTCACGCAGCAGTCAAAAAGAGCTTATCTGTGTCTGTGAGGGTCTACTTTTGGGAAACACCCATGAGATGATGGGCTATCTGTGTTCCACAGACAGAGTTCACACACTTTGCGTTCCATTTGTCCTCTCAATACCTCATCGCACTGTTTCTTTAAAATCTCACAAAGCATTATTGTTGCTTAAAAAAGGAAATAAAAAATAAAATTGGAATAAACAATAATATTCAGTGTAAATCGAGTAGAATTAATAATTAAATATTAAAATTGATTTAACAATGAAGGCAACATAAAACAACAGTTTGGTTGCTTGGAGTTTTAAACCTTTTCATTTTGTACTAAAATGAATACGCAAAGAAAAAATATAGGCTAAGCGATATAATCCCCAAATGATAAACACGCTTTCGGGAAAAAAAATTAAATAAGCATTATTTTCCGGAGTTCACTTACTTTCAGTCTGAATGCTGTTAAAAGGCACCGTATTTTCAAGCTGGGAGACTAAAAGGAGTCTTGCTTGTCCAAGTTGCTTATTGTCTCTAATGGATCAGCTTTGGATGAGGACATCATTTTAATTTATGGCTTATGCATTCTTCAAAGGTCAATATGCTTGACCCCGGGCGAAAGTTGAGAAACAATTCCCATGCTCGCAGAGAACTATTTTGCTTTTACGCATATATTTGTTTGTTTGTTTTCATTATAAGCTACCAGCTTAACATTCACATACGGTTAGAAGAATAGTCCGATCATAAATACACAAAGGATTTCAATGTTTAATAGAGAGAAAGTCCAAAAGAAGTCCAGTCGGATTCTTACAGCGCGTCTCCCGTTATTGTCAATGAATAGTACCGCTCTGTGGACACATGTGAAATTACCTCCCGTATAGGTAGTTTATCAGCAGTCCGGATGACAACTACCGGCTGTCTATTAGTCAGAAAAAACAACTAGTTAAATATCTGTATGTTTACGCAATAAAGATCATAAGGACATTGTTAGCAATCAGACCTGCGCATCATTGTTTCCGCTTGGCGCGTGCGTTTGTGAATCTACCACAACAGTTCAGCAGCGGACAATGAAGTACAAACAAAACATTATCACAGCTGAGAATACACACAATAACAACTTCCATACAGCCTTTTTAACTTTTTAATGTTTGTCGTCAATATCTGTTGCAGTTTTTTGGTGAAATAAGCTTTAAATCTCTCTTCTGTCAACCGGAGTCTCACGCGTCACTCTTCGCTGAAAACCGCCGTAAAAACAAAAATCAATCCTGGACATGCAAAACGTTTAAAATATAGTTTGGATTTTACTGTAACGCTTCTGTAAGTTAATGTGAATGTATAAACACACTAGCTGCGGTGTTACGAGGAGAAATGACGGTAAACACAACATGACGGCAAGCCACGAAATCACGGACGACAGGTTACCAATGATAAAAGTTTACCTTGATGTGAGGCAGGGTACCAAAATAAGCCCTCGTCTTCGCCGTATCCCGTGATTGGTTTTAAAACAGGTTAAAAATAATGAACACTGATGTGTAGTAGCAAAGAAAGAAAAAAAAAACTGAAGTGTATCGCTTCCACTGACCGTAGAGGGAATCCCGCTTTGGCTGTATGAAGTTGAACTGTCAAAACTGCTGAGAGCAGTTGTAAGTATATTTATCGCGTTTTCCCTCTCTACTCTAAAACAGAAGCGACAGAAGACGATGGTTACTGCTGTCAATCTTGGCAATCAATGCAAGCGGCCATGTCGCAAGTATTCAAAGCATTTCCCGTCGTGCAACATCAGAAAGTGAGTGGCCAGGGCATTGATCTGAGGAAAGAGGCAGGGCTCCCCCTCCCAGACAACACGAGAGAGAGAGAGAGAGAGAGAGAGAGAGAGAGAGAGAGAGAGAGAGAGAGAGAGAGAGAGAGAGAGAGTCTTTAACGGGGTGGAGTAGAATAGTGGAGATTGGGGGGAAAGTCAAAGCTCAGGTAATAGTTTTTTTTAAATCAGGAGCCAGATTAATCTAAATTATATAGGTTATGTTTAGGTTGAATATAGGTTAATATTTAAAATATCGATATTTTTATCATTTGTTTGTATACTGTTAGGTAATATTTAATGTAAAAAACACATTTGCACACATCTACGCGTCATTTGTAAAGGTTATGCGTCATTTAAAAGATTTTTTTGCATTTTAAACACAATCATATTAAGAACTGGCGCAGAAAAAAATGTAGGCTATATAAATAATGCTATAAAATACAATTAAAAATACAGAATTTGGCTAACCTGGCATGAAAGATATTAAATGTATAGGCATTTCTTTTATTGACTTAGCCTACTTTTGAGGATAACTTTGAATAATTAGGCGACGGCAAAGCTCTTACTTTTATTTAGACTTTGTATGTACAAATTAGACCGTATAAAAGGCTACAGACAAACTTCAGTTCTGCTGATAAACATTTGCCCTATTCAAGCATTTAATGGAATTTCACGTTACCTGGGGTAAACCAAACCTCACTTCAGAGGAAAAAAATATATTCCATACATGCTTTCACGCTAAGAAATTAAATAATTGTTTACGCAGTTCGGCTGAAAGAATGCATATTGCGTCCATTCATGCAAAGCGTCTTTGCTTCAAAAATGGTAAAACAATGCTTTACACCTGGAACTAGCTACTGGTGTCAGATTTGTGCCAGCAACCAAAGGCCATCTCAGGTCATTCTACAAAGCCGAATGAAAAATCTGCTGAAACAGTGTAACATTTTGTATGATTGTTCAGTTATTACATCAAATTATTTAATCAATATATCGACAGAGATGGAGCCTCAAGAGCAGCATTTAAACTCTCCACTTCATGTATCTCTCTGAATAAAAAGGTTAATAATTTATATTGTTAATTGTAATTTATCATTTTAAATATATTTATATAACACCTAAAATTGCAATCTAATTTAAATTCACGAAGACAAGCATTATTATTGGATAACACTATTAGAACTCAGGTAAGCGATTTTGAAATATTCTCAATTGTTTTACGGTGTCTGTACTTGATTTATGCGTATTGCCTAAAACATTACATTTAAATAAAATAAAACGCATTTATTTAATAACTCTGTTTGATCCCTTGTTGAGATAGCCTTTCCTTTACACTGATAAAAAATGTTATATAATTAAAATATCCAAAATGTGTGCATGAACAAAAAAATCCCACACTTTTTAGACTATTCACCAGAAATTAAACATTAGGTCATGAGGAGAATACTCGCTCTTAAAATGCCACAGATCAGGTCAGATGAGTTCGAATTTTGAATGTAGCCTACAGCGCACTTTAGGAATGCAGGTTAGCCAAACTATGAAGATTAAAATAAATACAACACTGACAGACTTATGCAGAGATCGAAAACTACACATGTTGTCTTGTTCGATGTGTAATGCGACAGGTGGTAAAACTAAAGCTATTAGTTAAAAATAAAAGTTTAAAATGCGTTTATAATAACTGTCGCACTGCATATAAAACCGCGTGCGCATATGCCAATTTTAAATATTTATTCTGAGCGGAAAACACCAGAAATGCAAGTCGAAAATAAAACAATAGATACATAATGCAATATTGTACTTACAATGATAAGGGCAGATGCTGAAGAAAATGCTGTTTGTTAACTGAAGAGTCACACAGGGCTAAAGAGAGGGGGAGAAAGGGAGGGAGAGAGAGAGAGAGAGAGAGAGAGAGAGAGAGAGAGAGAGAGAGAGAGAGAGGATTAAGGATGTAGAGGGTATGCCAGAATAGATATCCTTTCACAACATCTCATCACATCTGTTCTGGCTCTTGTCTGTCTTTCATTTTCACATTCCCTTTTTTCCTGAGAAAAATCCTATCCACGCGTCACATCTTCATCCCCAGATTCCATCTACACCAAAGAGAAGATTAATTATTCAAACAAAGCACTGCCTTCAAGGTAATAACGTCACTGCATTGAAACTTTTCTCCTCTGCATCCTATTCCAGCGGACACCCGAAAGTATCTCTTAACAACATTTGAGTCGAAGATTTTTTAGGTTGCTATCATTTTCAAGCCCTGACAATTATTAGCCAACTTTTTAATTCAAAACTCGTTGGAAATTTTAGCTAAATATAGCGAAAAGGTACGGACACCTTTTCTGGCTGCTTATGAGAAATGTCGACGTTCTCACACAAAATGGAAAAAATGTAAACACTTTCAAACTACCTCCGCTCAAAACATTTATAATAAAAAATGAGCCAACAGTATATTCAGACAAGCGTTTCTCTGAAGGTAGGCTAAATACAGGCTGCTTCTCAAACCTTGCCTAGACAGAATTTTTAGGCGCCATGTGAGTATTCACTTTCTAGGTAGGTAGCTCTAATGTTTTGTGAGAAACTTGAGAAGTTTCGCTCGTGTCAGATAGGGTTCATTTATTCATATCTGAGAACGTATTTAGATAAAAAAAAAATCCTACTACTATAACTACATTAAACAAAACGTCTTCCTTTTTTCGGAGCAGAGTAGCGCGCGAAACTGAGGCAGAGCTCGTGCACTCCTGCAGAAGCAGGTACCGTGTCAGGTATAAGGTCCGCTCATCGATGCACAGGGCGAATGCGCCACCCGTCGATTACTTGAGGAATTACAGCTGATGAATTACATGCTAATAAATGCAGTGATTTTTGTCGAGTAGAACGTGTTCTTGAGTCAATTCTTGTTTTAAATTTGAATGCTTAGAAAATGAGCCCAGAAAACAAACTTGTGTTTAATAGACATCTAATAGACATCCAAACGTAGAAAGCTTGGCTAAAACAAGGCTAAACTTGGGCTGTCAGTGAAAATCTAATAGACATCTAAGAATAGCCCAAACTGGACTGGTTGTCAAAAAGACAAATTAGTCAGACTTCATGTGTGTAGTCATTCATTTCTGTTTATTTGATGATTAGGCTAGTTTTGGCCTATTCTTAGACGTCTATTAGATTTTCACTTAATATTTAGGCTTGTTTTAGCCAAGACGGCTATGTTTAGATGTCTATTAGACATCTATTAGACATCTTTTAAAAACAAAAAATGCTGGCTGGGAGCTTCAACAACACTCAAACTTAACAAATTGATTCATTATTGTATGTAGGCCTATTTATTTTTCAAACGAACGCTCGAAATGCAAATGAAAAAATGCAAGTGGCTGCTAGTTCTGGACTTACAATACCAGTCAGCCTTAATTAAAAAGAAATTCTCACTAATGAGTTTCTCCTGCAAATTCGATAAGAGTTGACGTGTAAAAGAGCAAAGCTATTAGAGATGTAATAAAACTTCTTTTTAAAACAAATTCTATTCATGAATAAATTGTATATTTTTTATTAAATCCTTGGTTATTGCTTCTGATGTAGTTTGGCCTTGACAGTGCAAAACAGTCACTCAAATACTTATAGGTTTTAACAAGGACATGATTCATTTTCAGCTCCCTAACAGTGCTCAGGTCTCAACTAATTAGCTCTGAACAAATGTATAAGTCTTCCCCCTCCCCTCCTCTGGTCCCTTTGACAAAATCTTAAAATCACAAGGTCTTTTTTAGACTATGAGGCTGTAATTAAGCAGTTTGTGGGTTCAAGCGAGCGGGTTCAAGCCTGTAGGTCTGGTCTGGACCAATGTTCTGTCCAGCTCGTTAGAGAAAGAGGCAGCATTCATCACATTAGCATATCATGAAATGCTTTGATGCATCGTGAAATTCAAGCCTAGCCTATTAATATTTTAAAAAGGCCTGCATAAAAATCAACATTTTTGTTACATTAAATTAACATGTGTTCTTCTCCAGTTCTGCATGCTTAATTAGGCCGCGCTCTTCTGTCAAAGGAAATATGGAGCCTGCCATATGATTTGCTGTGATTACTTGAGAACTAGCAAACAACACTTCACAAATATATTTGTCTGGTAGATTCGAATGCTTCACGGAGGATGTGCGCGTGAGAGGGCTTTATTAAAAACTCATTTCATACATTTCCATATCTGCAGGAGCCATGCGAATATATGTCTGATGTGTTTAATTAATGAGAGAAACATTTTCAGATGAAATCTACAGAAGTGTGTCTGTGTTGCTCCATGAGACTTAACAGTGCTGGAGGATTCTCTAAAACATCTTCTGTTTAAACATTGTATGAAACAGTCCTGTTGTAGTCTGGAAGGTTGCAGCATCACTTGGGTTTTGTGGGAAAGAAAAAGAGAGAGAGAGAGAGAGAGAGAGAGAGAGAGAGAGAGAGAGATAGAGAGAGAGAGAGAAAATGACAAACTGCAAACTATTATGTGGCAGGAAACACAGGAAGAGGTATTTAAATGTCAGTGTCTGGAAAACCTTTATGAAGTTTAATTAAATGCAAAAGCACGGTATACTGTATGTACAGCTTTGGAAAAAAATAGACAACTCTTTGTAATTCTCAGCTTCGATTTACAATTTATTGTTCCAAAGCATTGTTAATAGATCATTTCAATGTAGTGATGCCACTGGCCCATGAACATTTCCTGCTTGTTGTCAAACTATTCCATAACTATATCAAGGTGCAAATAGATCCTAACAACATTTAAAAAGCTATCATAACATTATTTATCATTAACCTTTTGGATTCTCAGAAGCTGTGGAAATTAAAAAAGCAAAACAGGAAATACGTAAGGACCATTGTTATTGTTTACATCTCTCAAAATGAGACAAAACAACAGCACATTAACAATGTTTTTTTTTAAAGTGTAATATTTAGTAAAATATCTTTTATTTTTTTTCAATCTAAAAAAATTAAAACCTTTAATATTCCGAGCAACAGTCAACTATTACAGAAACAATATAAACAATTAGCCCAGTAGCATGGG